TAGTCAGATAACCCTAACGAGTTCCTTAACTTTCCTAAATTCCAGTTCCCTCACCAAAAAATGAAGGTAAGTGACACAGGATCTTAGCATCATGCCTAAATACAAAAGCATTCTGCGTTTACAAGAAGGCACCATCATGTCTTCTTCAGGCTCCAGACTGACCACTTGGGCTTTCACACAATAATGTTTTATTTTGTTTTGTTTTGTTTTGTTTTGTTTTTTACCATTTACTATGTGTAAGCCAGGCATGTATAGCTGTTAGGGAGAAAACAAAGTAGAATGAGAAAGTCTCTGTATTTGAGAAGTATCAACTATCTGCTCCTTTTGCCCCTGTTTTCAATTATTCCTTTCAATAGGAAGAATGGCAATGCTTCCAAGGAGAAAATAATTAGGGGAATATCAGAGGTAAATCATTAATTCTTACCTCAAACAAAGCAAATTATAAATATTAATTCTACAAAAGCCTAGTGAGTGGATCAGTTCAAGACCAGATTGCCCAAAGAACATTCTGAGTCCCATGCCCCCCACCCCCACCCTGTGTGAGTGAACACGGCACGGAGCACATACTTTATTTGGAATGTTGACATCGCTGCCCGCTGCCAGAAGCACTTTGCTGCCTTCTTCATGACCTCCTTTAACAGCCAGAAAGAATGGTGTTTCTCCATTCTAAAAAAAGGAAAAAAATTAAAATTAATCGCCCTTTGGCAAGGAATGAAATTACTTGAGAAACAGCATGTTTTCTCCCTACCTTTTATGTATTACTCTTAATGGATAGCATTTGTTGAGCATCTATATGCCAACTTATATTGCCAAGACTATATGCCTTGGCAGAGTTAAAAGCACAGCTCTGTGAGGTCAGGATTAATATTAACCCATTTTACAGAAAAGGAAACTAAGCCTTAGCTGGAAAGGGACAAGACTAGTATGCAAATTCAGCTGTTTGGCTCCAAAGCCTGCACCCTCGCCTATCCTGTTATGCTGCCTCCTTGCAAGCTTTCCATCCACCATTTATACCCTTAATCTTTATTAATTTATCTAGCAAACATTTATTTCTCACTTACTGCCTGTCTGGCGAAGGCATTGTGATTGGAAAGATGAAACACTGCCCACAAGAAGGGAACAGCCTAGTAAGCAAGATAATCATGGAAATACGAGTTACAATGCAGTGTGAAACTTATCAAAATAGATATATAGATACAAATGGTGCACACTTGTACCAAGTACAGCTTTAAAGTTTAAAACTGATTTAAACTGCTGTGTGTCCTTTAAAAAAAACAAACAGTAATACTCTTTCTCAGTAATTAGGTTTCCTGAAACTCATGATAAATGTTAGTAGGACAAAGTGAGAGCTTAGTTTAGGCCAAAACGCAGAAAGAAAAGAAGGAACTGGTATCACACAATACATGGATATTTCCCCCTCCTCATGAAGATTCTTTCCTAAAAATACCGGGAAGAAATGCAGAATTCCTTCCCATTCCTTAACCATTTCCCTCCTTGGGCAGTATTCTGCTTAACAAATGCATTAGTTCAAATTCAGAAGGCTTTACTCGTAGCTAATTAGATATGAACAATCCTGTCAAGACGGATGCAGGAGCATGGAACTAATGTCCCCATCTCAAAGGGATGGAAAAATTGTATCCACGCTGCTTTACCTGAGTGCCTGGGCCTGCCATCTGTTACAAAGGAATTTCTCCCCATAATAGGCCTTCTCATTTTCCAGGAAAAGAGATGCCAAATGGCAAACCACAGTGGGGAAAAGCATTAGCAAAAAAATGTGAAGGAAAGAATTCACATCTTTAATATATCAGGAGTCTAATAAACATTTGTACCTTTGACCCAACAATCTTGCTTCTAAGAATATACCCAAAGGAAATAGTGAGGAATTCAAACTACAGTTTTTATACAAAGAGGTTTGTGACAGCATTACTTTTAAGAAAAGGAAAATGAAATAAAACGTCCAAGAGCTGAAGAAGAGTCAAATGAACTCTGGGCAGCCGATAAAAATATATATGCATAGGAACACAAAGAAAATGGAAGGAAAATATTTCCAACATCTCTAAAATAATCATTTCAGTGTGAAGAAAATATAAGAACTACTATTTATATTTATTTTTATCTTAAATTTTTAACTGTATATTTCTGGTTTATGTTTTGTAGGGTATTAATTTAATTATAAATGTATATGTGACAGATGCACACCCAAACTCTCCTTACTGATAGGAGTTTGCTACCAAGCCTCTTTAGAGACAACTCCTCTAGAGTATATTCATAGGGGTCACTCCAACTGGTGCAGCAACAGCTTACAACAGGAAACACAGGCAGCCAAGAACTGTATGAATATTAGGGTCCTATCCAAAAGGCTAATATTATCACTAGTCATTATTTTGTGCAGATGAAACCTATCATAATCTGCAATGACAGTTAGTTGGACTTTATGAGCTCTCTCCAATGTGCCCTAACTCAAAAATAGCTAAAAGGTGGGTGAAGTCCAAGTGCACACATTCCAGTGGTAAAGTATTAGAACAGGGCAAACATGATTAAGACTTTCAGTTAAATCCTGTGACTACAGGGGGCATCTGGGTGACTCAGTTGGTTAAGCATCTGCCTTCAGCTTGGGTCATGATCCTAGCGTCCTGGGATCGAGTCCCACATTAGGCTCCCTGCTCAGTGGGGAGTCTGCTTCTTCTTCCCCTTTTGCTTTCCACTCCCCCTGCTTGTGCTCTGTCAAATAAATAAAATCTTAAAAAAAAAAAAAATCCTGTGGCTATGATACCTATATTGGTTTGTGAAGGCCAATCACACCTAAGATTTACCCTAGGTGATTCATGTTTTGTTTTGTTTGTAGCTTCTCACACATCATTCATAACTTTTATTCAAGAGGATCAAATTCTCGAGATCTTCTTTAAATAAGTTAAACCAATTAAACCTGATCATCATTATGCCAGACAGTCAGAAAACACTGAACACACACAAAAGTAAACAAATGAAGGCTCTATTTTTGTCCATGATCCTCAAGTGAAAGCTTGGCTTAACTGCCCCCAGAAACTTGAAGAGAATAAAATGAGGATAATAGCAATATATACCACGGGTCCAAACTCATATACTGCACCCAGACCACACCAGTGATAACAGACGCCATCGGTTGCACACTTACCATGTGCCAGGTGCTATTCCTGGTGCTCTGTGTGTGACATCGCCTTCCCATTTAAACCTCACTATGGCCTTAGGAGGCTATTTGACAGAAGAGGAAACTGAGGCTAAGAGGGGCTAAGGACTAAACCCAAGATCACCTACCTAGAAGACTGATGGAGCCAAGACCTGACCCACACAGTCAGAGCCCTGCTTTTAATCTCTGGGTGCGCAAGTCCAGGGATGCAAGGGACTAGCCTGGTGGGCTTCTCTGGTCCAAAGAGAACACCGACTTGGCCCAGACATCACGGAGGCTCACTCTCATAGCCTTCCATTTTCATTATGTTGCCCACAGTTGCTACTTTTATGGTCATAAGCCACCAGTTCTAAGTACCAGCTTATTTTAACGTATCTGGGATCAGGATGCATCTCACAATCTCAGCCAACCAGATAGTAGATGTGATTTTGTTGTCACTGCTTGCAGTGTGCATTAAATCAGAATGGGTGTCAGCTTAGAAGAAAATCTCAGAAACTCTAGTGGGGTGCCCTTTAAAGAAATGTTGCATCGCAAGCACCTCTGAAGGCAAAAAGGACAGTATTTTGTTTGGAAAAGCAAAGACATCGAGACTCTGAGTAAGAAAGTGATTTAGAAGAATCAAGCTCAGTGTGAAGTTCAGGAACCAACTTATCTTTTTTATTTGTTCCTTTATATGTGTCTAATGAAAAATCTAAGATAAAAGTCCAAAAAACTCTTTCAAGAAGTATTAACTATTCTAAGGGACAAAAAAAGCTTGTATGTGTCATGGTTTAAGTGGCGGCATTATTTTTTCTTAGTGTCATATAAAATAATGATATACCTTATAATCACTGGTGCCTTAAATTAAATGATTATCTTCTTACAGAATTGCTCAGAGAGATACCAAAGAGCTCTTTCCAAAGAGACCATGTAGAATTCATTGACCCAAAGGTTAAAAGTGACTATCTAGAGCAGATGACTCACAAATCTGCCTCCACAGCCACAGCTTCTCCACCTAAGCCTTCACCCAGTTTCCATCCCCCTAACCTCCACTGAACCCCAGAGAGTTTCTGTCTCCCCACTGCTCCCCACCTGAATGTACGTGCACCCTGCAGGTGCCTCAGAGTAAAGTCCTCCAAAATCCTTATTACCGATTTCAATCACCTGCTCGCCTCTGCTCAGGGGCAGGCACTACCCCTTCCCAGTAATCCAAACTGGCGAATTGGGCATCAAAAATTCTTCCCTCTCTCTAACCCTAGTCACAAATCCTACGGCCTCTGCCTCCTCCCATTACTTCATCCTATTTGCTCCCTGTGAGTGTCCTGGTGGCAGGTTTTCTCCATAGCTCCTGATTTAGCAATTTCCAGTATCACCTGACTGGGTGTCCCCACCTCCAGGCTCTCCAGGCACCAAGCCCCTCTTCAAACCACTATGACAGTCACAGGCCTATACCCAAAATGGAGTCCATCTCTCTTTGCTGCTTAAAACCCTGCAAGGTCTACAAATCAAAGCCAAGCCCGCCCCCTGGTGAGCACAGCCCTTTTTAATCTCTGCCTTGGCCCTCTCAGCTCCCACCTTTTTTCATGCCCTTCTTGGCCTGTAGGCTTCTAGAATAAGAATACATACTCTACATAGCATAAATTACATATTCAATATTTTTGAGGGAATGGGTGAATACATGAATGGATTAACAAATGACTTGCTGGGATACTTTAAAGAAAAAAGAAGGGATTTTTTAGCATGACATTTTACACTCTGCAGCACTAACACCTTTGTTTTCCTCCCATGAAAGCCACTCCTCCCACCCTTCCACTTTTGAGTCTTGTGCTTACCTATAATGAGCAACTTCACGCACCTCATTGATCTCATTTATTTCTTGCCATTGGGTTAGCAGCACCTGGACTGCAGGACTGTGACCATGCTTTGCCGCAAGATGCAGGGCAACATTCCCCTCCTGCAACAGAGACAAACTCATGATAGAGTCCTCTGCACTGAGCAACACGCCCCTCCAACAGGGCTGAAATGGGGCTCCTGAGAGGTTTCACTTTGATTAAAGCTGTGGTCCAGAGTGTGGGCCACATTATCCATAGTTTCAAGTGAAATTTACAATTTTTTAAAGTTTCAAATGAAAAGACATAGTTGTTTGAACCAGTAGGGAAAAACCATCCATGCTCCTTGTTCTACCTTTGCTGCTAATCTGCTAACAAAAAGTGAAACAATTTAGAAGCAATCCCATATGACCTATGTGAAGGTAAACTGGTGAAAGATTTCTGGGAGATAGTTTAGCAATGTATACCAAATGATTTAATGTGCAAAACTTTTGGACGCACAATTCCATGTGTATGTATGAATTCCTCTTAAGAAAATAATCAAAGATGTGCAGAAAGATATGGGTGTCCATTAGGGTTTCCCTCCCCAGTCAGGTGAGACTGAGTCTCCAGCAGACCTCAGGGGAGGAAAAGAGGAAACTGGAGTTAACAGCGGAAAAATCCATGTAGTCTGTTGACTTCACAAACATTTATGGAGTGAAAATTAGCAATCTGGATGTTCCACTGCAAAAGTAGGTTCATTTTATCTGGATATTCCATACTCTGACTGTAGTAACAACTGAACATTCCTGACCAAAATGACATCACTAAATCTATATACCAGGTGTCACTCCCCTTTCTCTTGTTTTCAGCAAAGAAATAAGAGTCCAACTCACCTTGTCCTTTTCTGAAGTGTGTAGATTAAGGAAGATAAGTTTTTCTATCATTTCAGTGTGGCCCCTGTCGGCTGCCCAAAGAAATGGTTTTCTTCCTTTCTGAAAATCAGTCACAAACCTCCAGTGTTTATTACACATTTATTGGACAAGCAAGACAACTGACAAGATGGACAGCAGTTTGATGGTTACAAGGAGACCAAGACGGTGCTTCTGGTCATGGCGTGTAGGCCCTTCCCAGGCAATAATAATCTCTGTAAGTCCCAACCAGATCCAGTTCTGAGTTGTTGCCCAAAATTGTGGGAACTCCCCATCAGCACAGAATCATTTTTATGGGGGCAGAAAAGTACTGTTCAGAAGCGTTCCTCCCAAGCACCTGGGGAAGTGCCAACTCACAGCCAGACAACAAGATTCATTTTCAAACGTAGGATTTCTACCAACTTTCCGTGTTTATTGTTTTTTTTATTTTTTTATTGTTGTGTTAATCACCATACATTATATCATTAGTTCTTGATGTAGTGTTCCATGATTCATTGTTTGTGCATAACACCCAGTGCTCCACGCAGAATGTGCCCTCGTTAATACCCATCACCAGGCTAACCCATCCCCCCACCCTCCTCCCCTCTAGAACCCTCAGTTTGTTTTTCAGAGTCCATCGTCTCTCATGGTTCATCTCCCCCTCCGACTTACTCCCCTTCATTCTTCCCCTCCTGCTATCTTCTTTTTCTTTTTTCTTAACATATGTTGCATTATTTGTTTCAGAAGTACAGATCTGTGATTCAACAGTCTTGCACAATTCACAGCGCTCACCATAGCACATACCCTACCCAATGTCTATCACCCAGCCACCCCATCCCTCCCACCCCCCACCACTCCAGCAACCCTCAGTTTGTTTCCCGAGATTAAGAATTCCTCATATCAGGGAGGTCATATGATACATGTCTTTCTCTGATTGACTTATTTCACTCAGCATAACACCCTCCAGTTCCATCCACATCGTTGCAAATGGCAAGATCTCATTCATTTTGATGGCTGCATAATGTTCCATTGTGTGTATATACCACATCTTCTTTATCCATTCACCTGTTGATGGACATCTTGGCTCTTTCCACAGTTTGGCTATTGTGGACGTTGCTGCTGTAAACACTGGGGTGCACGTACCCCTTCGGATCCCTTCATTTGTATCTTTGGGGTAAATACCCAGTAGTACAATTGCTGAATCGTATGGTAGCTCTATTTTCAACTGTTTGAGGAACCTCCATAGTGTTTTCCAGAGTGGCTGCACCAGCTTGCATTCCCACCAACAGTGTAGGAGGGTTCCCCTTTCTCCACATCCCTGCCAACTTCTGTCGTTTCCTGACTTGTTAATTTTAGCCATTCTGACGTGTGTGAGGTGGTATCTCACTGAGGTTTTGATTTGGATTTCCCTGATGCCGAGCGATGTTGAGCACTTTTTCATGTGTCTGTTGGCCATTTGGATGTCTTCTTTGGAAAAATGTCTGTTCATGCCTTCTGCCCATTTCTTGATTGGATTATTTGTTGTTTGGGTGTTGAGTCTGATAAGTTCTTTATAGATTTTGGATACTAGCCCTTTATCTGATATGTCATTTGCAAATATTTTCTCCCATTCTGTCGGCTGTCTTTTGGTTTTGTGGACTGTTTCTTTTGCTGTGCAAAAGCTTTTTATCTTGATGAAATCCCAATAGTTCATTTTTGCCCTGGCTTCCCTTGCCTTTGGCGATGTTTCTAGGAAGAAGTTGCTGTGGCTGAGATCGAAGAGGTTGCTGCCTGTGTTCTCCTTTAGGATTTTGATGGACTCCTGTCTCACGTTTAGGTCTTTCAACCATTTGGAGTCTATTTTTGTGTGTGGTGTAAGAAAATGGTCCAGGAACTTTCCGTGTTTATTGAATAGTTCTATCACTCAACTATTTATTGAGAAGCTACTAGGTGCCTAGCAAGCACATCACACATTAAGCCTTGCTTTACTGATAAAAATGTTTGAAGCAGAAATTCTCCAGGACTTAATATTTAGATGGCTCAATCAGACATGGAATTTTATCTACTGTTTCTTTTTTTTTTAAGATTTTATTTATTTATTTGAGAGAGAGAATGAGAGATAGAGAGCACGAGAGGGAAGAGGGTCAGAGGGAGAAGCAGACTCCCTGCTGAGCAGGGAGCCTGATGTGGGACTCATCCGAGACTCCAGGATCATGACCTGAGCTGAAGGCAGTCGCTTAACCAACTGAGCCACCCAGGCGCCCTCTACTGCTTCTTTTTAGGCCTTCCTTGCTTGCTCATATATTTATCTCCAACATTCACCAAAAATCAACAGGAATACTCTTGAGAACAGGTCTATATGAATTGGAATGGAAAAATTAGGCAACATCCAGAGAACATAGCTTAATAAGGATGTTTAGGTATGATTTGTTGGGGAGGAAAGTTCAAATGTAGAATTTTCTGACCGTGGTAATTTCTTAAATTTTTCACACTGCCATTGAAGGGTCCATTTGCAATAGCCAAAATGTCATCAAGAAAGTGAAAGATCCACAGAAGACTTAATTTTCAAACTCAGGATATTTTTTTAAAAGATGTTATTTATTTAATCTGAGCGAGAAAGTGCTCGCACATACACAAGCAGGGGGAGAGGCAGAAGGGAAGGGAGAGGGAGAGACAATCTCAAGCAGATTCTGTGCTGAGCATGGAGCCCTCCTCAAGGCTCAAGGCAGGGCTCAATGTGGGGCTGTCTCACACCCTGACATCATGACCTGAGCCAAAACCAAGAGTCAGACATTTAACCAAATGAACCACAAGGCACCCCTCTGACTCCAGATATTTAAAAGAAGAAAAAGGAAGTTGGGGGGCAAGATGGAGGCAGAAGTATTTTCTTCAATTAAAGAAAACACTCACAAATTGGCTTGGTGTGTTATTAACCAAAAGCTTAGCAAGATGTTTGAAATGTGGAAAACAAGATACAAGCCTCTTTATAAGAAGGTTCCTAAATCTGAGATTTGTTATCTGATCTGCTAATGCAGGGTAATGAAAAGATCATGGAGACTGTTAACTTGAGACAAACAACACATGATTCCCCATTAACGGGGGAAAAAAGGAAGGATAAGGAAGGAAAATGCTGAAATAATAATGGCAAAAAAAAAAACGTCTACAAGGATCAGCCCTATGGGACTCTGTACTCACGCATTTATGGAAGCTGGAGAAACAAAGTAGTACAAAAATTTTTCCTAATTCATTATTCTTGAGCCAGACATGTTTGCCAATGAGGCCTACATCCCCAACCTTCAACCCTGGAAGGCTTGGCTCTCATCATCATTCTCGTGAGTTCACTAAGGAAGTGGAAAGAGAAGAAACAGATTGCTTGGGCCCCCAGTTTTCTGATTTTCTGCAAGTTATTAGACACCTAATTGAAAAACAGAATTTAGTCTTGATCCCTGAGCAACACTTTGGAAATGACAGACCAAAAATTATTGTGTCTGGCTTATACAAATATCTGCAAATGGTGACAATGGATAAAGGTTTATATTAAAAAAAAAAATCACAAAAAAGGATGTGTGAGAGACATGATTATACACTACATGAAAACATTTAGTCACACACCCTTATAAATTATTTACTTATTTGTTCCACAATTATTGAGCATCCATGAATATGCCAGATATTGTGGTCAGCAACAAGAAGCTCTGAGTCCAACAGGGAAGATGGACACATGAGCAAGTAATTATAATGAAATGCAGTAACTGAGAGCTGGTGATATGTGGGGGTACATAACTCAGTATGAGTGTGTGTTTGTGGGTGGGAAGGCAAGTGACAAGAAATGGTGGAAGAAGGCCTTTTAAATTGCTAATGCACTGGAACAAGAGACAAGAGCACTGGTGGTGACATTTTCCCCTGGGAGCCTGTGCCCTGTTTTTCTAGAACTGTTAATCACAGGCTCCTGCTTCTTCCACAGTCTATCCCTTGGTCACATTGTTTCGCTCAGGGATGGTCACATGCCAAGCTACGCCAATCAGAGTCAACTATGGGATATTTTTCTGGCACATTCTGTTTGTATCTAGAGTCATCGGCTAAGCAGTCATCAGCCCTCTTTGTCACCTGACAAGAAGAACCCACCTAAGAATGAAGCCAGCACAGTGGCAAGCACACATGAAAAATGCAAAAAGAGACAAGAGCCCTGCTGACATCATGGGCGCTGCTGGATTCAGACATACCTGAAGTTACCTGTGCATGAAGTATTTGAGTCAATCAATTCCTTTTTTTTCTTTTTTTAAAGATAGATTTATTTATTTATTTGACAGAGAGAGAGAGATAGCGAGAGCAGGAACACAAGCAGGGGGAGTGGGAGAGGGAGAAGCAGGCTCCCCGCTGAGCAGGGAGCCCAATGCAAATGCAATTTCCTAATTAGGGGTCATTTTTATCACAAGCAATGCTTATCTTGTTTGCAGTGACACAGAGCCAAAAAGCTAACCAAAGTTTAAATTCTCATGCAGAAGCAAAAGGGGTTTTGTTAGCCCTTTACCCACAGAGACCATAAATAATACATGAGGGTGTTGTGTCCTAGAGTAGACATCTGCTGCTTTGTCTCTATGTTTCTTTCTTCTAGTAACAGCAGCTTCATTTTCCTTTAGAGAACTTCCCCAATTATATACACATGTACTCTGCCATTTAGCCATTTAGTGCTGTCAACTGCCAGGTTTTAACTGGCCCATGAAGTGACCACTTAACCCATGCTGGTCACAGTGATCAGTTCAGGATTGGGCAGATGATTCAAGCAGGGCCAAACAGAGTCGTTCCTGAGATTTATATATGAACATTTGATGATAGGAATTTTCTTTTTTTTAAAGATTTTTTTAATTTATTTATTTGACATAGAGATAGAGAGCACAAGTAGGCAGAGAGGCAGGCAGAGGGAGAGGGAGAAGCAGATGCGGGACTCGATCCCAGGACCCTGGGATCATGACCTGGGCCGAAGGCAGCCGCTTAACCAACTGAGCCACCCAGGCACCCAGGAATTTTCTTTCTTATGAATCAAAATCCATAAGAATATCCGTAAGAGGGGCACCTGGGTGGCTCTGTCAGTTAAGCATCTGACT